TTCCCCTCCAGCCTCTCCGGTACCACACATGTGTCATCAAAATACAATCGCGTGTCCTTTTCGTATGAAAATCCTAGGGGGAAAACACCCTAGGTGAGCACAGGGCCCCTCCACCACCCCGGCCAGACCCCAACAAAACCCTGGCTTGGCCAACCCAGCACCAACACCCCATCCCCCAGCGCCACGAGCAGCCCTCTCCCCAGGTATTTCGGTGGCACTGCACCGGCTCAACAGCTGAGCCCTACGCAGCTCTGCGTCCCCCTCCTCACCCCAGGGAGACGGGGGAACCAAAACCCTCTTAGCAGCTACATCAAGCACATCATCCCAGACTCCGCGGTACGGCACTGCCGTGCCCTCGCCACACGCTTGCAGGGGCTGGCTGCCACATGGCAGAGGCTCTGCTTTCAGCAGCGGTGCCAGCACTGCTCACACAGAGGCTCTCACGGGCACCGCGGTGCTCTCGGGGGTGCTTTGGCAGTGCCCGGCAGCTCTGCCAGCTGTGAGGGGGGTCCACCTGCCCCAAGCGAGGGATGGCACGGGACATGCCAGGGATGTCCGTGAGCGGGAAGGGGCCGGGGACACACTCACCGTCTTGGCTGCTGGGGAAGACGCCCCCCCGCAGGTACGAGGACTGGCAGTTAGGCACTTCTGCAAGGCAGGAGAAGGCAGTGTTAAGGACGTACGTCCCACGGGTCCCACCGAGCGCTTGGCAGCATCTTCTCCCCTGAGCACATCCTGCAACCCCCCCAGCCCCCACCCCCAGCTTTGGGGGAAAACAAGGGCAATTACGGGGAGGGAGGCACTGGAATGAGTGCTGGGAGCAAGGTTTAAGTCAGCTTGGGTTTTCACCATGTTATTTGGGCCCCACGGGAAGGGAGCTGTTGCCGTGCCTCCCCTGCCATCTGCTCAGCCATGCCACCCTCCATCCCGAGGTCGGGGTATTTTTAGGTCCTAAGGCGATTAGAGGATTTTTCCGTGATGCTGGTGGGGTCCAGCAGCCAGAAATCACTGCTGGCCCCAGGCCAGGGCTGCAGGGGCACCCGTCGGGTGCCACAGGGCACCCCAGACCACGGCTATGGCACAGACCACGCCGCGCAGCATCTGGCAAAAATCTGCTCTATCCCTCCTGCTTTGGAAAGGAAAGAGATGGGGGCAGAAAAAAAGAGGGGGGAGGGAGAAAAGAGATCATCTCCCAGACGAAGCAGCAGCCAGGCACTGTGGGAGCCCCGGGGTGATGCAGCACCCTCTGCCCAAGGCTCATCCCTGCGCCTGCTGTGCTGCTGCCCCTGAGCTGCCACTGGCATAACCCACACCCCCCGAGCACCAGCACCCGGCTGCTGACCCCCAGCTCGCACCCACCTGAGTCAATGCAGTAGTCCCGGGGCTCCTGCTTGATGCCCATGGGGGGCTGGAAGCCAGGGCCAGGGGGGCCGGGCAGGCTGGGGCCGCTGTGCTCGTAGAGCGGGTCGTGGTACTCCTGCTTGAATCCCTGAGCGGGGCGGGGGGCGGTGGGGCCGAGGGGCTCTGACAGCTGCCGGTGGTAGATGGGGCGGCGGC